CGCAAACTCCTTGCTAATAATTTAACTGATATGGAAAATACTTTCTCTGTCGACTTTACGAAGAGCTATTTTTATCTCTTGATATTTGTAGTATGTTGGATGTCTTAGAAATTCCATGAAGCCAATATACACCCCAAGGCAGAATGTGCCTATCTTCTGTTTTCAAAAGCCAGGATTGTTTTCTTTAAAAAAAAAAACCTTCAGATTTTGTTATAATAATAAAGTCTGTGTGTATGTTGACATTTGAACAGAAATTACCTGAAGTTTTATTTTTTGTACATGGTAGTACAGGGAAGCCCAAACATGAGTGGTTTCTCCAGAAAGATTCCGAAGGGGACACACCTTCACTTATCAACTGGCCTTCCAGGTACCTCTCCAGTTGAAATTCTGTGGCTTGTGTTCAATGGATGCTTTGCTACTTTCCTTCTGACTTGCCTGGCTAATACTGACTCTCTCCTCTTACACTTTTTAAAATAATGGCAGTGCATTTGAAAATCACATGTTCAAAAGGAAGTTTTTTTCTGATCATAGGCTTTTCTCCTCCCATTGTCTAACCAATAATGCTGGCAGTTTTTCTCTTTCCTGGTATCCCCTTTCCTAATCCTACCAAATCTCATGCTTTCCTCCTTTCTCACCAGTTCACATAGAACTGGCCAGTTGGGGGCAGTAGTGAGTGCCTTATTAGACCTCTTATGGCTGAATCTCACTACCCAGCCCGTGTCCCCTTTAGCCAGTGTCCTGTGTTTTCAAGTCTCCTTGACATGAAAACAGTACTTAATTTTCAATGGTTAAAAAAAGCAGACAAAACCCCCAGTCATTTCAATTTTAAGAAAGGAGGCAAGGAGGGGCAGAAAAAATAAGAATGAGTGAATCATTAGAGGACAAACAGGCAAGGTCTCAGTTTTTCTAACAGTGAATTTATTCTCAGACAAGAACAGCACTGAGATTGTCTGTTATGAGAGGCACACATTCCACAAGAGAACGTGACTGTGTCTAAGCCTTCTCTTGATTAACAAAGATTGCAAATATGAAAACCTCCAACATTGGCTGGTATTAAAATGGTGCAGGAGAAAATAATTATCAGAATGCTTCTTTTTCCCCCATAAAATGTTCGTAGTAACCCCCTTTGTGTGTGTCTTGGATTATTTTTTTTAATGAAGTATCCAGGTACTCTGTCTGAAAACAAAGGACATTATTTTGTTTTTGTTTTTGTATTTTATCCAAAAAACAATCTTGTCTCTAAAGGCCCTGTTCTATTCCATAAACCATTTGTCATAAATAATTAATTAGTTTTATGGAGTCATGTTAAGTAAGATGAAAGTTCTGCATTTCCCCCAAGAAATAATTTCCCCCTCTCCAAATGCCTTTTTTTAATTAAAAAAACAACAACAACTGTGTCTACCTGAACTGAGGGCTTTGTGTTCTTGCTCAGTTTTATGGCTTATGGCTAGTGCTCCACCACTTGAGCCACACCTGCAGTCCAGCATTTTGCTGGTTAATTGGAGATGGAGTCTCTTAGACTTTGCTGTTCAGACTGACTTTGATTTCAGCCTCCAGAGTAGTTAGGATTACAGATCTGAGCCACAGTGCCTAGTAAGCCTTCTTACCTACCTAATCAGTAGTCCATTCTATTTGAATGGCTCCCCTTTTACATAATATTTCAAAAAATAAAAGAAGCAGCTAACACTAAGGATTGTGCACTCTTTGCTAAGCAGTAAGCCATGTGCTTTGCCAACATCCCTTTATCTTTTGGCACTGCTGGTTTGTTGTTGCTGGCAATCCTGAAGTTTTGAACTTAAGACCCTCACACCTGCTTGGCTTCCTAGTTTAGCTGGCATTCTACCACTTCCACCACACCTCTAGCCTGGCTTTTTACTTGTTATTCTGAAGATGGAATGTAGTAGACTTTTCTGCTCAGCTTGACTTTGAACAGAGACTCTCCATAAGCCAACCACCTGAGTCACTAGAATTATACAAATGAGCCACTGGTACCCAGCTTGTTGGATTTTGCTTGCTTTATTTTATTTTCTCTTTCTGCTGTGCTGGGGATGGAACCCGCACTTCATACCTGTTAGGCAGGTTGTCTACCACTGAGCTACATTCCCAGCCCACTACTATTTCTGTGTAAAAAGGTAAAGTACCGGACACTTAAGAAGGACAGGTAAGTTCTCTAAGACTTTTAAGATCCTAGAGCCCGACTCCTGGCTAATTTTCTTCTGCAGTGTTGGACAAAAGCTTTTGAAGTATTTAAGTAGCTAGAAACAGCAAAGAACAATCTCTTTCTGGATTGCTCTTTAACTATGAGTATAACAGCAGTTCCAGAGGGAATGGACGGGAAATGTTTATTAATTCTCTCAACAGTACTTTTGCCTCTAATACTGTGTTGATGCTCATTATACCAAGGACTCCCAACTACTCACCTGTCATGAGTAAATAAATATACTCAGCATTGCATGAAAGTTTGAGTGCTTCGAGAGAGAGGTGATTATCGTATCTTTAGCTCAATCATGCCTAATCACAAATACCCTTACATTTCTAGGAATCATTGAAATCCCAACATTTAATTAATAATTCTACGTTTCCTTGGAAGTCTCCCGCCACTAACCCCAGAATCCATATCCAGGTCCATGTCTTGTGCATGCACATTAATGCTTAACGGTGGTGTTCATAATGAATTTTTCTTTCTTCTGGATATTGGTTTAGTCAAAAGAAATGCATTCTCCCCCAAGGCAGGGTCTGGCCTTTCTAAGCTTCATGAAGGATAGAGTTAGTTTTGCAACACACTGGCAAATTTGGAAAGTTAATCCTCAATCCTTTTATCTGGCAAGGATTGAGTGTTTACATTAAATACCATTATGCTTTTGTGCGTGTGTAAGTTCTTCTCTTTGAGTTGATTTCCACTGATAACTTGTCATATGTGCATGCTTCCTTCTTCAGCAGGGACTGCACTTTGCAACTTAAACCCTTTTTCTTTCTTCAAGAGTTAAAGTTAGAGAAAAATTGGTGAAAGAGGAGAGTGCTCGCAGCAGCCCCGAACTCGCCTCCGAGCCATTAACTCAGAGGAGACATCAACCAGTGCCAGTCCATTATCTGTCCTTTCAGTCAGAAAATTCCGCCTTTGACAGGGTCATGAGCAAAGCAGTGAGCTCTGGGCAACAGCTTAGCCGTGGCTGTGTCCAGCCAGAAAATCCCATCCACACTGTCAAGTTGGTAACTACAGAAACCCCAGAACATGTGTCTGAAAGCAGCTGGGTGGGATCAGCCACTTTGGATGTCATAAATCCTCCCACATTGAAGATTCTAGAAGGTGAGCCAAGGGATGTTCCAGCCCTCCATATTTGTGAGTCAAAAGCAGAAGATGCGCCCTTCTCTGAAGCACCTGAGAAGAGCCATAAAACGATCGTTACCTTAAAGGATGGAATTGGAATGAGCTTCCAAGATTCCCCTCACAACGAAAACTTAGGTAAGCTCGTCGTTAGCACTGTCACCTTAGAGCATCACAAGGAACCACAAGCTCAGCACGAGCCTGCTGAGAGAACAAGCCGGAGTGAGATGGTTCTGTATGTTCAGAGTGAGCCTGTATCTCAAGATGCCACGTTGACCCATCACCCAAAGAAAGCCTCTCCAAGGAAGCACAAGGTCCTTACCCGCTCGCTATCTGATTACATGGGTCCCCCTCAGCTCCAGGCTTTAAGACAGAAGGATCCAGCCTCAAAGCGCGAGCTGGAGCTACCAACCTCCAAGGCTGCAGGCACCTGTGCAGAAGCAGCCGTGCTGGACACAAAAGTCTCTGTTGCCCAGCTCCGAAATGCATTTCTGGAGTCTGCCAGAGCCAGCAAGAAACCTGAACTGTAGGTGATGTTTCCAACCTTTTCCTGGTGTGTCCCTTGCACGTCTTTGGCAGAATGGTTTTCTACTCAACTCGTGTCGTGTGGTGCACTGAAGCATTAGCTTAGCTCACAAATGTGTGAAGGGCTGACTATAAGGAAATGGCTCACCAACTACCACTTGGCTTGTGCCTACTAATGGAAAAGTAGAGGAGTAAGTGGGTCTGTGGAATGTTCCACCTCCGTGTGTGCATGATAGAGGGATGCAGAGAGATCTAATCACTTGTGCCTTGACCCACTGAGACGCATAAACCTTTGCTTTCTTCTCTTTCTCTATCTTTCCACTTCCTTACTGCACATTCTCTGTCTTCTGATTCTAAAAGCCAATCACGGGTTGAGAGATCAACTGAAGGCGTTAACTTGTCTACCAGTATGGAACAGGAGAGAGGGTCCCGGAAACCAAGACGCTATTTTTCTCCTGGTGAAAGTAGAAAAACTTCCGAGAGATTTAGAACTCAACCTATAACCTCAGCAGAACGAAAGGAATCAGATCGGTAGGCATGCATACATGTAGTTCTGTGGTCTAGGAACATAAAAGAGACGGAAGGATTCTTACCACCCTAACAATCATATGGGACATTGATGATTCCAAACTTCTTCCACTAATCTCAAAAGGATGGTTATTGGGCTTATTTAAGTGTATTTTCAAAGAAGGTAGACTTTTCCAACAGTATGGTTTTAAATTGTACTCACTTGTCAACTATAATTTTGTTTTTATAGGTTCTTCATGTTCTTATTAAGTTGGAATCTGTATGAAATATCTTTCAGATTTTCCATGTATTTTATATTCATATAATGAATGGCCACTTGTGGTATTCAAGGTTTTATATATTACCATGCTACTCATAGAAATGTTAAGGTTCATCAAAACAGTTTCTCATCAGCTCTGTGTAATAACTCATCCTGGCTTCTTTCACGGGGTGTGCACGTGACTAGGATTGTATCTTCACTCATCCCACAGTGTTCATTAATAACTCTATGTGGTATTCACACCAAGGTGATACACTCTGAGAGAGAACCATTGCAGCTTGACTGTTGTTTTCCATGGGATGTTTCTTTGTGGCTCTTCTTCCCAGCACTAACTTTTATTACTATCTGCTAATGTCTTTCTAGGTATACATCAAGTTCAGAAATGCCAACTGTTGAGGGCAAGTATCTCTTTTCCTTTTTCTTCTCTTTTATCCCATCTTGATTTTGTTTAAATAATGAGAGCTTTAGCTTTGTGAGTAAGATTGTAGAGCCTATAAATCTCTTTTCCTCAAGCTTCCTTTCTGTAAATATAATAAAACCTTGTTAAAATTTTCATCTGAGCTTTCCTTATAGTTATAGAAGCTAACAGAATCTTTAAGTGAACAATAGCCAATCAACCAAAAAAGTGAACAAAATGAACCCCAAAAAAATGAACCAAAAACCAACAGGTTTTTCTTGCTGTTCTTCAACAGTAAGAACAGTTCCTTTTGTGCAGTCTATTCTTAAAGTCATCATTAGCCAAATATTGTAGCACAAAATCACCAACTAGAATGGCACAGTATGATTTAGCTTGATTTGAATTGTGGTGGGAATTAGTACCTTTTCATTGAACAGAAAAAAGAAAAAACAGAAAATACTCCCCCTTAATCATTTCAGTTCACCTATTCTTACATATGAGGGCTTCCCAGGTAAATCTGCATCTCAGAAATATTAAACTTTCTAATGATGTTTCATTTTTATTTCATGGATTCTTACAGATGAAGAAAAGGTAGATGAACGAGCCAAGCTAAGTGTTGCTGCCAAGAGGCTGCTTTTCAGGGTAAGAAGTGCGAACAGGCTTGTTAGAATAACACCAAAGCAGAAAGACTGATCCCTGGGGCTCTGGTATTTTCCCATACTTCTAGGAGCTCCAAGATGCCCTCACCTGAATTAGTCAGTGTTCTCTAACATAACAAAGTACCTGAGGTAGTCAATTTACAGAGAAGAAAGGTTTAAGAGGTGCCAGTCTTTGAGCAGTTGGACCTGTTGCTTTGGACCCATGACCAGGCAGTACATCATGGCAGGAGCACAAGTCAGAAGAAACTGTTTACCTCACAGTGGCCAGGAATAAAAGAGAAAGAAGAGGCAGAAATCCCCCAGGCCCCTTTGAGGCCACACCTCCAGTGACCTTGAGACCTCCCACTAAATGCCAACCTCTTAAAGGTTCCATTCCCTCTCAATAATACCAAGTGAAAAAAAAGCTTTGGCTTTATACATGAGCTTTGGGGAGCGGGGGGCACTCACTGGAAATCCAGACTATAGCATTGACTCTGTTTTGACTAACCACCCAACTGCCCAGCCTGGAAGCGTTCAATTCTGATAATGACCAGTCAAGTCAGGATCACTGGTGTCCCCTCCTGTGAGTCCTATGGAAGAACAAAGATATTTTTGCTGCCCCAAATTTCTTTCCTCTGATTTGTGAAGATTCCACAATGTTTCCCATGTTAGGAAATGGAGAAATCATTTGACGAACAAAGTGTTCCAAGGAGACGCTCGAGAAACTCGGCCGTGGAGCAAAGACTACGGCGGCTCCAGGACAGATCACACACCCAGCCCATCACCACTGAAGAAGTGGTCATTGCAGCCACGTGAGTCTGCGCTGGGCTTTCCTGGCCCTGCCAGTGATGGCTTCCTTCTGAAAAGGGATTTAGAGAGTTGTGAGTGAAAAGGAAGTGATAGCGAGATGTTTTGTCTTGATGCCATGGAGAGGTTGATGTTCCCAGATTTTCTCTACTGCCATCTTTGTAATGGGATGTGTTCCCTGTCATAGTTCCTAAGAAACATCTAATGATATTGTTTCATTGTTTATTTTCCTCGTGCATTCTGTTTGGGTTTTCTTTTTATCTTGTTACTTCTTTTTTTTTCTCCCCTGGGGGTTGGGGGTACTGGGATGGGTACTGGGAATTGAACTCTGGGCCTCTCACTTGCCAGGTAAGTGCTGTACCACTTGAGCCATACCCCTAGTCCTTGTGCTTTTACTTTGTTTTGCAAAGAGGATCTTGTGCTAACTTTCCCTAGGCTGGCCTCCTCAGAGCAATCCTCTGGTCTCCTCCTCCCAAGGAGCTGGGATTGTACATAAGCATCACCACATCTGGCTGTGTTTTATCTCTTTTGTGATGAAAAGCGTAAAGCATGAAAGTAGATGACGCAAAGTGAACCCTCAGCTTCAGAATTTGCCAATTCCTGGCTGGTATTTCTTCATCTTTATCCTCACCTATTCCCCCTTTCCTCCTGCACGATTTTTAAGCAAACCCTAGACTTCGCGCCTATAAATAGATTAGGACATAGTTCTAGGAGACAAAAAGGTTCATTTTGTTTATAGATAATCACCAAAAATGTTTTTAAAAGTAATTGACAATTGAGTAACTTTCCAAACTATACAGGACATCCATTTGGACCACTATAGTCTGGTATGTTCAGACTTTTTCAAAGTAATTTTCAAAGGTGATTGCTTGGGCCAAGCAAAACTGTGTATTTTAAAGTTACTTATTTATTTAATGAACTTATGTTTGCTAGGCAGGTGCTTTACCACTTGAGGCAAGCCCCAGCTTTTCTTTCGTTGGTTATTTTTTTGAAGAGATTCTCACTTTTTGTCTGCCAGCTAGTTCCAGAGTTTTCTTATTTATGCTTCCCAAGTACCTAGGATGACAAGTGTGAACCACAATGCCTTTTTTTTTTTATTGGTTGAGATGGAATCTCAAACTTTTTTCCTAGGCTAGCCTTAGCTCGTATTACAGAGATAAGCCACCACCCCTGGAAATAAATAATGATTGTTTTAGAAAAGTAGATTGAGGGCAGGAGATATGGCTCAAGTGGTAGATCACCTGCCTAACAAATACAAAGTGCAAACCTCTAGTACCACCAAAAAATACACATTTGAAAGCATGGGCACATCATTTGCTGATAGCTAACATGCTTTTTAATATTATTTTTAAAATTAGGGTGTTTATTTGAAAGATGAATCTTTTTTGAGCCCCACTCTTAAGGCTATTCCATTTACTCTGAGCAGCTTCTGTCTCTGATTTCCTAAGCTGGTAATTGCTTTCAAAGTTTGTGTGTAGGTTGTTGTGGGGTTTTTTGTTTTTTGTTTTTCTTGCTCTCAACTTAGTTAAGAAACATTTTTGCTAAAATATTTGATAACATTTCTGAATTTCAAACTATGCTTTCTTTAATGCTTCTTTTCTTCTCTCCTGTGGATGCTCACTTCCCTCCCCACATCTTTTCCTTGGCAATTGCTTTTAAAGTGAGCCTACCCCTGCATCGTGTTCTGGGGTCACCCACCCTGGAATGGCGAGACTTCCTAGTCCCACTGTAGCTAAGAATGCTGTACAGCCTCCCAGGTACTGGACATAATAGCTGCATGCCATACCCAGTGCCACTCCACTGGGCTACATATTGCTGTGAAAAACTTGAATGCCTTCTCTTTGTCTGACAAACAAGTCAGTGTGGTGTTCTGAAACATGGCATTTTGTTTTGTGGTAGTACAAGTTTCTGATCATTTTGTGTCTGCCTGCATGAGAAAACATTGTCCATCTGCTTACATTATGTGTTAGGAGCAGTGACACTAACTTACTTACCCATTCGTTTTGGTTCTGTTTTCCATCATACCAGTCATCCCTCAAACATTTCATTTTTCATCTTCATAACACTAGCACTTCAAGACTAATCAGAAAATTGAACCTTAATGTGTACACTGGAATTCTGATAAGAGTCGGTTATATATTAAACACATGTGGACACAAATACATATTTAAAACAATTCTGTTTCTAATTCAGAGCCACATAATGCTGTTCTATTTTGGGTTTGATTGTTGATATTTTGCTGTTAGATTTTTAATTGTAGTGCTTTGATATTATGTCTTTAGAGCATGTAAATATTTCTTTGTTTGGCTGTTATGGGCCAAAACATGAAGGCTAAAAATAAGATTCAAAGATATTAAATAACAATTCCTGAGTAACTGGTATAATCCAGAAGTAGAAATGGTTGAGGAAATAAATAGTTGGGAAAATGAGACTGCAGAAGTGTCCCAAGTTCCCGAGGTCTTCATTGTGCTGGTTATAACCTATGCTCAAAAAGACTCTGAGCTCTGGGACAGCCTGGGAGTCAGTGGATTTTTTTTCCTGATCCTGGAGCTTGAACTCAGGGCCGTCTCGCTCTCCCTTAGCTTTTTTTTTTCAAAGTTGGTACTCTACCAGTTGAGCCACAGCTCCATTTTTTTGCTTTTGTGCTGGTTAATTGGAGATAAGATAAATCTCGCAGACTTTTCTGCCCAGACTGACTTTGAACCAAGATCCTCAGATCTCAGTCTCCTGATTAGCTAGGATTACAGGCGTGTACCATGAAAGCAGAATATACTTCTTTCTAGACTATATAATGAGATTTCTATGGCAGAATGAATTTTGTTGAAGTCTTTTCAAGATTCACATTGACCACATAAACTAAAAGCCTTCCTTCTCTTCTGACTGGAAATTGGAAGGATTTGTTATTATTCACTAGTACTACCCAAGGCCTTGAGCATGCTATGCAAGCCTCCTATCACTGAGCTACATCCCCAGCCATAGTAGGAGTGATTTATATTCACCTAAAACTTTGACCACTTTTCAAAGGTACTGGGATTTAGAGTTAAGTACCTTTTAAAAAACTGATAGAGAGAAAATGCTATACTGAAGAAATGAAATGAAAATTATACCATTTAGGGCTGGGAAGGTGGCTCAGTGGTAGAGTGCTTGCCTTGCATGCATGAGGCCCTGGGTTCAATTCCTCAGCACCATATAAGCCGAAAAAGCCGGAAGTGGAGTAGTGGCTCAAGTGGTAGAGCGCTAGGCTTGAGCTGAAGAGCTGAGGGACAGCGCCCAGGCCCAGAGTTCAGTCCCCGTGATTGACCAAAAAAAAAAATTATATTTTGAAAGTAAAAATGGAAAGATTGTGTTGCAGATTATGTGCTTGATCAATGACTATATTTTTTTCTAAATATTTAAAATAGATCACCCCTGCAGCACATCTTAGAGAATGTCCAACTATGGCCTAGGCAGTACCTTTGGCTTCCTGAAGACATTCATTATGATCTCCAAGTTGACTTTGGTTCCTTAATTAGGAAATTTCTTTTTAGAAAAATACTCCAATTTTTTAAAAATTCGCTTCTAAGATCAGCAATGCTAGTATCCCAAGCTCACTGTTTGCTGTCTTATTTACACTAAGTAATTGCTTACCTTGTCTTAAGATTAAGTAGGGAAAAGTAAGCCTTTTGCAAAATTAAGGGAAATATGTAATGTTAGTGGTCGGTTTTTAGTCTGTAGCGGTGTAGCTGACTTCTTTTTTTTTCCCTGTTCTTTTCTTTTTCAGATTACAGGCATCTGCTCACCAAAAGGCTTTAGCCAAGGAACAGGCAAATGAGGGCAAAGATTTTACTGAACCAGGAGAACCTGATTCCTCCACTCTGAGTTTAGTAGAGAAGTTGGCCTTGTTTAACAAATTGTCCCAGCCCGTCTCAAAAGCCATTTCTACCCGAAAGAGAATAGACATGAAGCAGAGAAGAATGAATGCTCGCTACCAAACTCAGCCGGTCACCCTCGGAGAGGTGGAACAGGCAAGTACCCTGTCATCTTATTCTAGTTGTGTGCTTGTTCTTAAAATAACAGCAGCACAGTGTTGCTGTCAGATTTGAGACCTAATTATGGGTTACTTACTAATGGGTAATTTAGAAATCATTCCATCCCTTAGAATAACCAGGCCAGGTATGCTTCTCTTTGTTTTCATAATTTGGTTATGCAATCACCTGGACTGAGTCTGCTTTGGAGAGAAAAGATCATAGGTACAACCTGCAACCCCCTCTCCCCCGAAAGTCTGGTTGGCAATTTATTATAGACCCAAGTATAGACAAGTCTAGACCAAATCCCAGCGCCAGGACGTTTACATATCATGTTTTTCCATCTGTTTTTACTTTACCACCTGTGTCCTCCCAGGTACAAAGTGGGAAGCTCATCTCTTTTACCCCCACTGTGAACACATCTGTGTCAACCATGGCCTCTGCAGTCACCCCTACATATGCCGGGGAGCTCCGGACAAAGCCATCAGCTGACAACAATGCAAGTGCCACCGAGGGTAAATTGCCCTCTTCCGTGGAAAATTCAGACTCTCCAGTTAGAAGCATTCTGAAATCACCAGCTTGGCAGTCTTTGGGAGAAAACAGTGGGAGCAGAGGAATGCTGAGAGAATTTGGAGAATCAGAAAACAAGAGTTTTTTGACATCTGCAGAAAGTAATATAAAAACATACGAGTCCTTTGAGGAAGTGGAAGCCTCCTACCCTGGCCCCAGTCGGGTGAGGGAAGCAGACAGCCAGAGGGAACAGAAATGTGCTCTACCAAGGAAAGAAAGCCTGGAACTAGCTAGTACTCCTGTCACCCACCTTGGCGATGAACCAAAGAAATTTTCCACAGCTAAAATCAGCACCCAGGGTAACTTGGATGTGAAGGACAGGCCACCCTTTGAAGAGAAGGTAGATGAGGAGAGCATCACCAAAAGGAGATTTTCACTCAAAGGTAAATTATAACTTTACCTATGTTTTCCAAAACAATAGGGATTTAGTTCCTACTTGTTTTATTGCATGTTACTGTGCTTCCTTAAACACTTCTCTTTTTAAAAATAAATTATTATTGCTGTTGTTAAGTAGTTGTAAAAAGGGGTTACAATTCCATCAGTAAGGTTATGAGTACATTGCTTCTTGGTCAAAGTCACCCTTCCTTTGTTCACCCCCATTTTCTCCCTCTGGTCCTGTTTAAATACTTTGATAAGGGTTTTAAATGACTTTAACTCACACAATAGCTTTTCAGGTATTAACTCTGTTAGCACCTCTTGTAAGTTAATGGCCTAAAGATTCTAGCATATGCTAGGCACAGGGAATAAGGGCTTGAACCAATCTGATTTCTCTCTACATGCCTGCTTTCCAGTTGTAAGCTTTTCTAATAGAAATCTACTCCTCTTTCTGTGGTCTGTTGTGGAGCAATCCCCTAAAAAGTCTAGTTTTCTCTGGTGCCCCAGGTTTCGTAAATCCAGGTGGCCTGGGTGACCTGACACGTGTCCACAGGTTACACTTCAGTGGCAAACTTTGGATGTGTGTGTATGTGTGTATGTGTATATCAGATGATGATCATGATCATGATAGTGGTGATTATCACTTTTTCTTCCCCAAGTAGCTGAATGCGAAGAGCTGGCTTCTGAGCAGACAGGGACAACTGAGGGGAAGACTTCAGGCACAGGGGCCTGGAAGCAGCAAGATCCTTCAGAAACACTACAGAAATATTACAAGAGTCCGTGTGCGATGTTTGCTACCGGAGAGATCAAAGCACCCATCGGAGAGGTCATACTTGATTCCTCTAGTAAAACCATGTCAATTAAAGAGAGGTAAGAAGAGATAATGACTGGAAGTAATTATTCATTCATTACATTGCATTTCATCTAAGGAGATGAAATCATAGTTTGGACAGATGCTGTGATAGGATGATTCTGGGATGTTCAAGTTTTTGACCATGAACTGCAGTTGTCTCACACCTGGTTGAGAAATGCTAGGACCAGACCCAGAGGAGGAAACAAACCGAAAAGCATCATTAAGTTGGGATGGTGGTACAAGTCTCTAATCTCAGTACTAAGAGGCAGAGCTAAGAGGCAGGAGGATCACTAGTTCTGGCCTGAGCTGAGTTCCTGTCCAAAAAAGAAAAGAGGATTCACTTGTTTATTGTCCTCATCTTTATCTTTCTTTCCCCATTTCTAATCTTTCCTTCTTCTCTTTCTATCTTTCTTTCTTTCCTTCCTTCCTTCCTCCCTCCCTTCCTTCCTTCCTTCATGTCTCTCCCTTCCTTCCTTCCTTCCTTCCTTCCTTCCTTCCTTCATGTCTCTCCCTTCCTTCCTTCCTTCCTTCCTTCCTGTCTCTCCCTCCCTCCCTCCCTCCTTCCCTCCCTCCCTCCCTTTCTTCCTTCCTTCCTTCCTTCCTTCCTTCCTTTCTTCCTTCCTTCCTTCCTTCCTTCCTTCCTTTCTTCCTTCCTTTCTTTCTTTCTTTCCCTTACTCTTTCTTTCTTTCTTTCCCTTACTCTTTCTCTTGTTTCTTTACATTTTGTGCCCGTTGTAGGGCTTAAACTCAGGCCCTAGGCTCTGACTTTGAGCGGTTTTGCTCAAGGCTAGCACTTTACCACTTACCACGGGTCCACTTCTGGCACTGGGAGGTTAATTGGAAATGAGAGTCTCACAGATTTTTCTATCTGGGCTAGCTTCAAACCACAATCACAAATCTCAGCCTCCTGAGTAGCTAGGATTACACATGTGAGCTATGGACAACTGGCGCCTGTTTCTTATTTTTCACTAAATCTAGTGAATCACTTTATCTAGTGATGAGAGGTGAGAACTTAATTTTTTCTTTTCAGAGATACATGGTTCAAATTGAGTACACAAGCCATTTGTGTGTGACTGTGTCAAATAAATATAGAAGTTGAAGACCAATTCATATATACGATTGCATCTCTGGGATTAGAATCTTAAATTCAGTTGATTTTACAGAAAGTGGGCTGGGTGACTTCTGAAGAGCATGTAGAAATTCTCCTTCCTTCCTTCCATTCTTTCCTTCTCTCACTTTCTCTTTTCTTTTTCTTTTTCTCTTCTTCATTCTTTCTGTCTTGCTCTTCCTTCCTTCCGTCCTCTCTTTTTTCTTCCTTTCTTTTCTTTTCCTTCCTTCCTCCCTCCCCCCCTCCCTCCCTCCCTCCCTTCCTTCTTTCCTTCTAACTTTGCTCATGCTATGAAAGCCCTCTCCACAGAACTACACAATTTTATATCAGATAATAGCATGAATGCTTATATTTGAGTATCAAATAACACTATAGTCTTGTTTCATTGAAAGAATGACATAGGACTGAGAGATTCTCTTTAAGAGGGTAGATACAGACACTAGCAACTCATTATTTTCAGGATGTTGTATTCCTTGTTGATCTTTAGCCACAGTTAAGTAAAGCTGCCGACAATGCCATAGTAATAAGAAGGAATGAAAGTCACTTCAACTCACAGATATAATGATCAGAACTGTTGGCACTGTGTGTTCCTAAAGGTCTGCCAGCATGGACCCCTGGCACCTTCTACCAAACAGATGGTCTCTTCTTTTGTCAAGCACTGGGTACTCTTGATTTTTCTAGATACCTTTCAAGTTACTAAAGACTGTATGTCAAATCACAACGAAAATTCTATTTTTCAAGCCAAACTTTTGAACATTATTCATAAGATACTCAATAGCCATTTTTTTCACTTACAAATTAATGCGTCATGGCTAATTTGTTTGCAATGCACAGTAAATGAGACTTCCCAGGCTGAGGGTAGTGGGGGAAGGGAAAAGGGCTGAATCAAATAGGAAAAGTAGAATCTTGAATCAAGGAAACAAGTCTGGTATGCCCTGGCACCAGGATCTTCTCTACCAGGCTTTATCCCAGAGACACAAGTATTGATATCAGGTAAATAGCATTTATCTGAGTTCAAATGTTTTATATTTCAAGAAATTTTCCTGAGTTAAAATTCCAGTGGGACATATTAATGTCACAAGTCTTTGTGTGTGTGTGTGTGTGTGTGTGTGTGTGTGTTCTGGAGCTTGAACTCAGTGCCTTGTGTTCTTACTCAGCTTGAGTGTTGGCATTCTACCACTTGAGTTACACCTCCAACCCAACAGGCACCAAGTAAATACAATTTAAAACAAAAGGTATATTAATGAACTTCAACCTATCCAAGGTCTAAGCTGTTTTTAGTGTTGTTTAGCTCTATCTGAAATTCATGAGCTGCCTATATATTTTTGAAATGAGAGAAAATTCTAAATGGAACAAACAGAGACACATGATTTGCCTATCCCATATTTGACCCAACCCCACCTATCAAGAGCTTGAAAAACTTGTTCTAACTGAGCTGGGCTCCAGGGCCCAAATTCCTGCTGCAGAGTGTGGGCTGTGACAGTAGACCTTTTCCCCCAGCAGCCTGCTTAGCACATGTTGTTTTGGCCCCAGGCCAGTCCATGGGGTTAATAGGCTAAGGCATTGCCACTCATAGCCTCAGACTAAGCAGATGCCAGCTTCTCAGCATCACAAATAGCACTTGGACTTGGCAGATGTTAAAAGCACTGACAGTTGTTGGCTTTGCATGGAGGAATTTGCCATGTGTCAGCCCAGACCTTTCCACTGTCCAGTGCAGGGCTGCCTGTGGTGAGCTGGAAGGCTGTGGCATTGAAGAAGAGAGCACATCTGGAAAGATCTTCTACTCTCCAAGCTTGTCACATGCCAAGTGGGAAATCTAAAGGGACATGACTAATATATTTGAGTTGTACTGCATGTTCCTTTGAACTTATTTATGGATTTTTTTGCACGTGTGCTGGTACTGGGGCTTGAACTTAGGGCCTGGGTACTAGCCCTTAGCTTGTTCACTCATAGCTGGAACTCTGCCACTTGGACCACAGCTCTATTTCTGGGTGTTTGGTGGTTAATTGTATTTAAGAGCCTCAGAGACTTTCCTGTCCAGGCTTCAAACCAAGATCCCCAGATTTCAGCATCCTGAGTAGCTGCTAGGATTATTGATCAATTGTACTCAGAGGCTGAGTGTGAGCACAAGTACCCTGTGGCATAATGGAAGTTGTGTCTCCCACATTGGCTTGTCCCTCTGTGGTCTTCAGAAGACTCCAGTGACAATACTGCCAGCAGCACATCTAGATGAATGGAAGAAGGCTTCCAAAGCCATCCTGAGAAAGCAGGATAAGAAAGCCAGAAGTTTCTTGAAAGAGGAAGGCTTAGCTGTGCCAGGTTGCTCACACCTGTAATCCTAGCTACTCAGAAGGCTGAGATTGTGATCTAAGAATCACAGTTCTTAGCCAACCAGGGCTGGTGTGGTGTGCACATCAGTACTGGGACTTGAACTCAGGGCTTCAAGCTCCTGTTCTTTCAAGACTCATGTTCTATCACTGGAGCCATAGAGCCACTTCTGGATTTTTGCTGGTTAATAAGAGATAAGCAACTAATAGACTTTTCTGCCCTGGCTGGCTTCCAACTGCAATCTTCAGATCTCACCCACCTAAGTAGCTAGAATTACAGGTGTGAGCTTCCTGCTAAGCCTCTGATTCCTTGAGACCTTCATTCTGAAGAGCACCTCAGTGACTGTAGCGCCGTATTTTTAATAACCCCAACTCATGGGGTAAAGATGATTTCTTTTTGTCTTAAATCATTTGGAATTCAGTCTAACTGAGCTAGTGAAAATGAGTACCAGTGTTCTGATTCAAAGGTGAAGTGGGAGGTGAGTTTGTAAAGAGCATATCAATGACATAAGTGCTTCCTTCACCAAAGAATGACTTGGAAGTATTTATTCACGGGGGTTAAAGTATTGGCATCTTAATTTTTAAGTATCATTAGTTGGTGCTTTGAGATCCTTGAAAGCCCTAATATAGAAAAGCAAATACTAATTCATTCTTTTAATCAGTTGATTTTTTATCTTATTAAAATAGCACTGCTTCATTCAAAATAATTACAAGAGTAAATATTAGGTATTATCCAATATGAAAGGCAAAAGAAAACATGTAAAGGAATTTAAATTCTGAGTTCAAGTATATAAACTAGCATACAGTATGCCATTAAACTTTGTAAAAATACATTAAATTTCCTATTTGTGTGTGTGTGTGTGTGTGTGTGTGCGCTAGAAATTGAACTCAGGGTTTCACACATACTAGGCAAGCCCTCTACCACTTGAACTATGTCGCCTCACAGTCCTTTTATTTTTAATTTATTTTAAGGTAGGATTTTGTACTTTGTCCCCGTTTTTATTATAAAGGTGATGGCATTACAGTTACCTAAGTCAGATAATGAGTATATGTATTTATTTATTTATTTATTTTTGTTGTGGGGCCTGAACTCTGGGCCTGGGCACTTGCCTCTCAGCTCTTCAGCTCAAGGCTAGTGCTCTACGCCTTGAGCCACAGCGCCACTTCCAGCTTTTTTACGTGGTGGTGCTGAGGAATCGAACCCAGGGCCTCATGCAGGCTAGGCAAGCACTGTACCACTGAGCCACCTTCCCAGCCCGAAATTTCTTTTTGAACAGTGTCACCTCCTCCCTCATTTTCTTTGTTTTTCCCTACTGACCCCCTCTCCCCTGCCAGGTTATATAGTTCATTTCCAACATAGTGTCTAGTGGGTATCACTGCTGAATTGGTTCACCCTTTGTCCCACCGTTTCTGTGCTTCATACTTTGTCCTTAAACCACAGTCCTCCTGCTATTGCCTCCTTACTAGTTAGGATTACAAGCATGCACTACCATACCCCAAAGAATTACATAATTTAGGACTAAAGGGGATCTTGGTCTGTGTGTACCTGCTTGGTTAGATAAGGCAGCTTTATGCCAGTTTA